TATATATATATTAGTATAAATATATAGCAGTGGAGAACAATAACCCCTTCATGACCCATGATGGGATAATCCCATCATGAATCCTAAAAGGCTTAAACAGACTGACTCTGTTCAGATTTGTAGAGCCGGCGGCCGGCTTTACAGTAGAAGTGATTCTGGCGGCTCAGCTGCCACCAGATCGCTTCTACGTTCCGGTAAAGTTTTTAATCAATTTTTAACCTGGGCATGTTGGGTATCTATTTAATTGAATTCTCAATTAGAGAGAGACAGTATCAAAAAATGAAGCTATTACTGGGTACGCTCTTATTAGAAAACTCATAATGCACTTCAAAACACATGCACGCCCCCAATGCATGTTTATTTGCAAGATAGAGATTTTATATAGATAAATAAAGACAGACATTAGTTAGAAATAATTAAAAAAAAAACATTTGGCAGCTAGCTTTACCATATCTTGTCCCTTTTGCGTGCTTTTTTACTTGGAGTTTCTGCATAAGGGTGCATGCAAAAAAAACACATCAAAGCTCATTACAACATGCTAAGAGAGTGTTATAATGCACAAAACACTGGGTACCGTATTTTTCCGTCTATAAGACACCCCCATGTATAGGACGCCCCCCACTTTTCTTACCCAAAATTCAGAAATCAATATTTTCCATGCTCTTTTGCATAACTCATTACATCCAGTTTAAATTTTGCAGTGTAAGACAGCTGCTTACTGGTACCAGTATTTTTTTGTTTTCTGACATTTTTATGGGCTCCCTGTTACATCTGGGCACTGGCTACACGCTCTCCGCAGCATCAGCTGATGTCAGGTACATAAGGCTCATGATTGGAGGAAGCCTGTTAGCTTGTCTCTGCAATCGGAAGTTTCACTCGTGAGGCTAGTTTGCAGAGGTATCGGCAGTTTCGCAACCGCTGTTCTCCTCTCGGCCCACCGTGTATAAGTCGCCCCTCCATTTTTAGGTAAATATTTTTAAGAAAAAGTATAGTCTTATACACGGAAAAATACAGTATTTAAAAGGTGTAAAGCAGGTAAAAAAAATAACTTGCATGTGAAAATGTATGTTGTTTTTGCAATGAAAAAGTATGAATAGACAGTATAATTAGCTTTTCTCATAACACACTGGCATACATTATTTCCCAAACAGAAAAAAAGTTTAGCTAGAAACTGATCCGGACGGAG